TGGGCCAGAGTGAACAAGGGAAGACAGGCAGATCATGTGGGAAGATGATTTTTGATCATTATCCTAACTTTGATCATTGATCTTTGATCATTATCCTAACTTTGCCCTCTAACCTGTGATATCCCTCAGCTCCTGGGACAGCTGACCTAATATCGCTTAGGGACTCAGACCCCTAAATGATCCTTTTCTCTCATTCTGCTATTAAGGTAGAGAGGGCATGCATCCCCTTTCCCTAATCTAGGTGTCCATGGATGAAAGATAAATGGTCATTGTAGATGTCCATGGTGCCTGCCCCAAACTCTCCCTACTCATCCCATTGTAAGGATAGGGACTTGGTGCTGGGTCTCCATTCACCAAAGCAGATATGGCTTCTCATTAATCCTTCAGATCTCTGAAGGCTATGGGCCTAAATAAATGTGTCAGGGAGGCTTGCTGGTAGGTTAGTGGTCCTCAGGATATGATAGAAACATCTGATAGGCAATGAACAAATTTGAGGGAAGGAATGGAGCTGGGCAATAGGAAGGGGCCTGGGGCCACTAACTTTGGCAGCTGTCTAGACAGTGTGTGTCTAGAGTGGGAGAGGGGAGGGGACCAAGCCAGGGCAGGGCTGCTTGGGGCTTGGCATAGGGGTGTGAAGGGCTACCTTGGGGCTCTGACCACAGTGTGCTATGTGTGGAGGATGCTCTCCTGTCTCCCACAACTTCTGCTGTAACAATAAACTGTAGAGGAATCTGAGCACCATTATTACTCTGTCTCAGTGTGCTTGCATCATGCCCCTTTCCTACCCCATCCCTGCCCAGCTCTCACATTCTCTTCTCCAAGTGACATAAACCATGGGAGGTGGAGGGAGCTTTCATAATATACACACTTCACAAAATGTGACTTCACAGTCATTGCCCCTATTCAATAGAATGGTATTGTCCTTGATATTGATAGTAGCTTCACATTTTGGGAGAGGGGCTACTTAGATCTTAGAAGACTTCCTTATTAGTTATTGAGAAATGCCATGGGATTTCAGAGATGTTATCAACATCATAATCTCTCTTTAAAAAAAAGTTTCTATTGATTTCAGAGAGGGAGAGATAGAAACATCAACAATGTGAAAGAATCATTGATCAGCTGTCTTCTGCAGCTTGGGGATTCAAGCCCACAACCCAGGTATGTGCCTGACTAGGAATCAAACCATGACCTCCTTGTTTACAGGTTGACATTCAATTAGGAGCCACACCATCAGGGCAACCAACATCATAATCTTGAGGAGTTACAGAAAACTGACTGACATGCCCAAATACATCTTGTAACCACCTTCTTGCAGGATCCTCTGTGGGGTCACTTAGATTCCATTTTAGGTGGTTCAATACAATCAGAGATCATGCCTCATGCAGTTTCTAGAGGGGTTATTGGATTGGTAAATTGATCCTAATCTGAAGACTCCAGGTGAATCACAGCAACTAGGATTTCCTTTCAGGGTTACCTCCTACCACCTAAATCCAACTTTGGGCAGTTAATTAGACTATATCTGTGGTTCTTTGAGAACCTTCTTAACAAATATGAACAATAATCATCAAGAGAACTTCAGCTATTTTGTGACTGTTCTAGGTTGATCCTTGGGCTCTTGGGACACAAGAAGTAAAAATGAGAAGGCACTTTATAGTATTATTGTCCAAGAACTGCAGATGGAATAATAGTACAAGGTCATTTGCCAGATTACTTTATAGAAACCCGATGGACAATTACATACTTTCCTCAGTGAAACAGACCTGATGACTAATGCAGCTTGATATCTAGCGTTGACACACTGACGTGGAAGTGAGGGCATGGAACATGCTTTTGATGTTTGAGCATTTCATCACTCACATAGCACTGAACTATTTTAAATGCAGTAGGCCAGGATCAAGAGGGTGAGGGTGTTTGGTGACCACGCACAGGGCAGGCAGCAGGTGCTTAAATGTCACACTAAAGAAAAGAAACCACATAATTGGAATTGCTAGCATAACTAGCTCCTAGGTAAATAAGACATGAGGAAAAGGCAAAGAGTTCCAACTAGAAATAGCTGTTTGCTCTGCCTTATGGAAGGGAAGGTGGGTTTTCTCAGCACATTCAACCGCACAGCAAACACTGTTATGTTAGCAGGGTAATCTTCAGAAATAGAAAATCTCATTTCTGTGTAAAATGTGAGTGGTTGTGTGTGTACCTGCCATGGGGTGGTATGTGAAATGGGTGATGACCATGTGTGTCTCTTGCCTATAGATGTCCCTGCGTAAGAAGCCCAAGTTAGGGAGAGGGAGAGAGGCTGTCTGCTGGGTGTAAGGGAGAGGAGTGTGCTGTCCTTGGCTGACCTCTCTACTTTGTTGGTCCTACATATTCCAGGCGAGCCCATGGGGAAACAGTGCCTCCCTGTGGTTGTCATGTTTTCTCCTAACTTTCCCCAGTTCCCAGTTCCCTTCCTGGTCTCCCATGGTCTTCCAGAATCTACATAGTAGTCACATAGTGTAGGCCTGATACCACGCTGGTGGCTCCTGTCCATTCTCGAGATCAGAGCTCAGAGGTTCACAGGAAAGGTGGGGTGACTTCATAGGAGCTGAACCACAAACTTCTTACTTTTTGTTTCTGCTTCAGCCTTAGGACTTCTTTTTCTCCTTTCTTTTAATCTCAAGGAATGTGTCTCCTTGACTCTAGGGACAGAAGTATTAAGATAGCTAAGAGATGGCTCATTGGAAAGAATAAAACTGAAAATACAGTGATGAGAGCATTGCAATATCCACTTGAAAACTGTGGAACCCATGAAGATATTTTAAAGGATAATAACCTAAAGGTATTTAAATAGTGAAACAATAGCAGGAGAGATAAATAATAAGTTTTGGAGCACTACTTGCCAAGCACCTGCAGGCTGGCACTATTTCTCTATCAAAGGCTTCAGCTCTTAATGGATGGCTCTTGACTTTCTGGTAACTGCTCCTTCTCTTCAGCCTAGATAACAGCATTGCTATTACTCAGACTCATGGTGGTCCATCATCACTTGTTGCTCTGTCCTAATCCTGGCCACACCTTCTACACACACTCTTTATTAAACTTGCCCCTCAGTTATCCCATATGCTCTCTGCTTTCTCCCGAGACCCTTACATATAAGACAGGAAGAACAGGTAAGGAAAAGATGAGGAAAGGAAGGTAAGAAGAGAATCTGTATTTTGAGGTTTTCTTAGCATCACAGAAACATGGGTTTGAAGCCTAGTTAGGTGATCAAGTTATTTAACTTCGGAGTGTACTTCCCTGGACTTACTATGGAGATATCTACCTGGCAGAGTTGGGAAGGTGAGATAATATATGTGGAAGCAACATGAGAGTGCCTGGCACATAGCAGATGCTCAATGTGGAAACTCCATTATTATGACAACATATTAGACCCTGTTCTGACTGTGTTATGTGTGAGTTGAGTGCATTTAGCCCTGAAGGGAAGCAGATTGGGATGGCTCTTCAGGGAAATTATTTCCTCGTCATTTTTATTTGGTTTTGCCTTTAGCTTGGCTTATCACTGATGCGTGGGTGCGTGAGCTGAGCTGATGAAGAAATTTTTATTCTTAATTTGTGGGGAGGGGAATGGGAAGACAGAAGACAGAAATGAAATGAGATGAGAATGGATCTCAGGAGACCTTGCCCATGTTAAGGCCTCTTGAGCTTCTCCAGTGAAAGTATTTGAAGGGGCACTTGGTGAGGGTGCCTGAGCTCACAGGACACACCTCCACTTTCCCTGTCTCTCCACCAAGTCTGAGACATTCCTCTATCTCGTGGGTCAGGGCCATCCTGCTCCTCCTCAATTCCAGGTAACCAGTTTTTGTATTTGTGCAGTTTTTAAGAGAAACAGCACATTGTAGGGGTTACTTGCCTGAAAGACAAATAGTCCAGTGGAGTGGGGTCAGACGTATAATGGCAGGAAGGGCAGGCGGTTGTGGCAGAACTAAGTAATTGCCCTTGGCATTTGTCCACCTCCTTCTCCCTTTCCAATACACTGTTTCTTTTTTTTTATTAAAAAATTAAATTACAGTTGACATAGACTATTATATTAGATGCAATGCATGTACACATAATGATTAGACATTTATATAACTTACAAAGTGATCCCCCATAAGTCTAGTCCCATCTGACACCATAAATAGTTATATTTTTGATATTTCCTTTGCTGTACTTAATATGCCCCAAAACACTACTTTTTAATCCCACAGCACAAGGCAGCTAGATGGAGACAGAAGCTCAAAGACAGAAAATGTGTCCCTGAGGCCACACAGGACTCAGTGTGAAAAACAGAAACCAGGTGGAAGTGGGCTCCATCGAGCCTGATCTAAAGAGTCTGTTGAACGCGTTGGTGGTTGATAATCTAATATCAGGGAGTGGGGTAGGTGTGATTAATATAGGAAAAAAATCTAGATGCTCAATGTTTATTTTTAAACTTCTTCTCCTCTAAATGTTAGGAACTCTGGATCAGTATTTCAACACCAGTGGGTAAGGTGGGAGCAGGCTGTTGGGATGTCAGCAGTGCTCCCATATCTGGGGGACATGGCTGCAAGTGACACAATGGCTAGGGGCTCTGATTCCAGAAGAAGAGACTGCATCCAACACTCACCCTCCCCACTTCCTGCTCCACTAGGCAGCAGTTAGGTAACCCAGAGGAAGGAAGAATAGCATGCTCGAAGGGGGAGGGTAAATTGGACATTTATTATACATAGTAGCAAAAATGTAACAAGAGTCAAATCTGCAGTGATGGTCTTTATATAAATTCTCCAAAGTATAGACACTCAACTTAAAATAAACGTCCCTTTCTCAGTCCTGGATGAGCAATGGGATCTCACATAGGAGAGGCTGGGATCCAGTTCATGGGGATGATGCCTAGTGAATGCCACTTAGTCTCAGTGGAGAAATGTCTGAGGACCAAAGCCTTTTGGGAGGTGTCTCCTGGAGGGAGGGACATTATTCTAGATGGGTCCATCAGAAAAGTCAGAAATCTCTCAGGTCCACAGAGCAATTAAGGCCATGAAGGCAAAACCAGTGGCTATACAACCCCACTTGACCAGAGGTGCTTCAGGATCAGCTAGCTCCATGGGCAGGATTTCTAGGAAGGTGACATACAGGAAGGTGCCAGCTGCCACACCCTCTAAAACAGCCTGGGCTAAGCCTCCCCCTACTTCTGAGTCTGTTCCAGGCACAACCAGCCCCAGGGCTATGCCCAGGGGGGACATGAGAGAAAATAAAAATATGCAGAACACGGCCCATCGTAACGCAGTGCCGATCTGCACCAGCCGAAGTCCTACACCAAATACTACAGGCCCTTTGTGAGCCAGGACAGCAAGCCAGAGCTGCACTGTATTTGCTACGGTTGTCTGCAGCCCCACAGCCAGACCTTCAAAGACCGAGTGAAAGGAGAGTGAGAACAAGAGAATGAGGGCTCCTCGAAAGGGCCTTCGAGAGGGTAAGGGTTCCTGGCTGTGGAGTTCATGGCCATGATCCTCACTCACTTCCTTCTTCTGCACTTTTGATCTTCCAATGGTTTCAGGACAGTACTGCAATGTCAGCGACTCCAAAAAGAAGACGGAGAAGAAGCCCAGGGAGATGATGAGCCCTCCATAGGGATAGTCCTTCTGGGAACAGAGAGAGGGGCTGTGGGACGGGAAAGGAAGGAAGTGCAGTGGATGGAGGTGTGGAGGTGGGATGGGAAACTGGAGAATGGGAAATGTGGGACTAGAACTTTAAAAACGTTAGGTGGCCTGGCTGGTGTACTTCATTGGTTGAGCATCAACCCATGAACCATGGTTGAATTCCTGATCAGGACACATGCCTGGATTTCAGGCTCAATCCCCAGTAGAGGATATACCAGAGGTAGATGATCAATGATTCTCTCTCATTATTGATTTTTCTATATATCTATCTCTCTCCCTTTCTCTCTCTCAAATGAATAAAAACAAATTTTTAAAATGGTGTGTGTGTGTGTGTGTGTGTGTATGTGTGTGTGTGTAAGGGAACATAGCCTGGAGAAAATATGGACATGCAACAAGATACCAGAGGGGCCAAGGTTGCAGCGTCAGCAGGGTTGGAATGTGGGAAAATGATGGGGAACATGTCTAAAGGTCTAGGGAAAGAAGGAAGAGTAAAGCCAGAGCTTTGTCTGGGTTCCATAAACCCCAAAGGATCAGGTTGGCTCCGCCTTTCCCTACAGTGTCTGAGCTGAGGAGCAGAGGGATTCCTGATACTCCTTAAAAAGATCTGGGTATGAGGAGTCTCTGGTTCTCTTCACCCTCCAGGTTGGGTGTGGGAGATACTTACATGAGCCCAACTAGCAATTCTAGAAGAATTCCCCCCACTCTCTGTCCTGTTCTAGGGAGAAAAAAGCAGAAATTAGATGGGGGATGGAGCAGCTCAGCTTCCTCCCCTGTCCCTTCAGCTCCACTGCTTTCCTTACAGTCTAAGCTGACCTGTTGTCATGATTCCACACAACACAAGAGCATACATTGTTTCTATAGTTCCACACATGTCCTTGGCTCTATCACTTTCCCTCCTGTCTCCCCTTGGTTCTGCTTATCATATGGTTTCTTATCCCTACACTTTAGTTACTCACCTTCATCTTCTGGATCTCAAATTCAATATTCTCCAAGGATTCAACAGTCATGTGCATGAATCCTGCTCCCAGGAAAACACCTGCAGAAATGCAGCTCAGGAGGCTGAGGCCCCGCGAGGGATGACCTAATGAAAAGCAGGAGTTACAACCAGTTGGCAATGAGGAGATGGACAAACGTGACTAAGGAACAACAAGGAGCACTCAACATCCAAGCCTGGGGATGGCAAGAGAATCAAAGCAAGGTGTCAAGGTAGGATGACAGGGTTAAAGTCAGGTTATGGGGGTAAAGCTACAGAAGGGTTGTACCTCTGGCTGCCTCCATTTGGAACCATTTGAAGCAGATGGGAATAAGGCCACAGACCATCGAGATAACCAGCAGGGCAAATAGGCAGCCAATTTTTACTTCTACCACTTGTTCCATCCTTGGGGTACAGGATAAGCAGAGACCTCAGAATGACAAATGGAGTTACAAGCTTTGGAGCAGGAGTGGTGCCTTAGGTGGTCAAAGCTGTAGTGTCCACTTCTGAATTTCGGGAAGCTACTGGATTCTCTTTGTTTTGTGCTGCCTGTTTGCGCAGCCTTGCATAGTTGACTGGGGCCTTGCCTCACCTTCCTGCCCTCCCCCTACATGGAGGCCCCTCCCCTGGCTTATGCCTTCTGAACTTGGAAACCAGAAACTCTAGATTCCCTGCCAGGCACAGCCCTGTGCTCTGTCTTCTCTTCAATTCCATGAATAATCCAAGGGCTTGGACTGACCTAATCCAAAATGGCAGTCTAATCCAAAATGGCAGTCTATGGTAGCTACTTCCCAGCTATTTTATGTTGGGGACAATCTGGCCCTGACTCACTTCAGGATATTTGATCCAAGCCTTCCATACCCTCCCCACCCCAATGCAAGTCTTATAGGCTGCTATGCTGATACCTGAACCTTACCCTTTCAGAGGGGATTTGGGGCCACCTGGGGTTAAGAAGGAGGTGGGGCTAAGGAGTGGTGCTGCTGTCACTCTGGGAACTAGCAGATGAGGGGACTCCCCTTTCCTTTAATCCCAGAAAAATAGCTCCGGGTATGGAAATGTCTAGTGGGAGTTGAGATTGAAACTGTTGTAGGAGAGGGACTGAGAGTTTTAATACACAGAAAGTTGTTCTAGCTCTGAAACAGCAAGGCCTAGGGAAACACGGAAATGAACCAAGTAAATGGACTCTGCCTGGACATAGGATTGTGGGAAAGAATGACTCAGTCCTGAAAGGATCGTTTCTTGAGGGGCATTCATGATGCAAACTCTGGGGAGCTGATGAACCCTGAGAGATAAAAGGAAAGAAAGGAGGTAGAAAAAACAGAGGCCAGGCAGCTGCTGGTTACCTGTCCAGGTGGCCCATCTAACTACCCTGAGACCTGTTGAGCCAGTTCTCAGAGTGCTGGGGGTGGCTTTCCCACTCCCCCATTACTTCCCTGAGAAGTCCTGGTCTCTGGGAGAAGCAGCTGTATTTTTACAGCTGGGGCTGAGCTTGAGATTTCTGTGGGAAGACAGGCATTGAATCTCTGAGGACTTACTTCGTTACAGAATAGGCCATGATGACTGACCTCTACACCTTTTAAGAATCACAAGACCCATTCCCATTCTTTGAAAAGTTATAATTCGTATTAAAACCTCAAACAAATGCATATATATATATATATATGGTACCAGCACTCCTGTTATCGCGCACAGTCGGTTTGAGCCCTGAGGAGTCTCCTCATTGGACAAAATGGCGCAGGGGGCGGGTCTTACACTGATCGCGCCAAAGGCTGGAATGAATGGGCGCGTGGCAAGCTGGAAAGACCAATGGACTGGACTTTAGGAAGATTAATGGACAGGGCCTGACCGGGGGCCCAAAGCTAGAAATGTGAATGGACAGGGCCCCATGATCTGTAAGCTGGAAAAATAACTGAATAGAAAAATAAAAAGCCCTTCTCTCCCTATAAGCAGGAGGAGGGGATGGTCTTTGAGACAGAAGTCCACCATTCTCCCAGGTTGAGCAGCACCAGAATGAAACCTCTTTCCTTTTGCACCTGTCTCACGAGTTTGGCTTGCAGCAGGGATTCAAACCTGTGTTTTTCGTTACACTCCCATCCTGGAGACCAGGAGGCTGAAGCCTTGGCAGGCTCGATACAAGAAAACCCTTGTTACACATCCTTGTCAACTCTCAGGGGGATCTTCAACAGGGGACGGAAGCAGCTCAGACGGCGTGGTCACAGGTAAAAGATCTCCCCAGGAGCTGACACGGGCACAGCGATACAAATCCCTATGAAAAAGAGAGGTCAGTGTTGGGGGTAGGTTCCTGCCACCTCCCACCTACCGTGGTCACAGCCTCTCTACCTGCCATGGAGGCGGGCTGTGAGCACAGCATGCTGCATCTGCCCATCTGGACAGCACGGGTGACAGTGCACATGGCGTGGCCGTTTAAGGACAGGCTGAGTGATCCGCAGCCAGCGATTAGCTTCCTCTGGAGACCCCCGGGCAAGGATTACCATAGAGAACTTTTCCTTCTTTGGCTTCTTGCTCTAAGGTAAGGGTAGAGAGACTGTTTTGGGGAGAAAGATATGGGGAAAATGTTGACCCCCATTGCTATAGCCCTTTTCATATTCTAGGTCATGCACATTCAGGCTCTACAAACGCTCTCGGAATTTTCCAACTCCCCCCACCTGATTCTTTTTCATCCTGCTTTCCCAAGCTACCTCCTCCCTGCTGCAATATTCCCAGGATACATACCCAGCTGAAGGGGATGGGATGGTACGCCTGGGAAAAGCTACAGGCCAGGGGCTTAGAGGCTGTCAACTGGGGACAAGGAAGTTCATGGGGACACTGTAAACACACATGAAAACATGAGGTAAGACGAAAGAACCACAGATCATAATACAGGGAAACGAAGGGTTCTAGGGGCAGGAAGGGCCAGGGGTCAGGAGGCACAGGAGCAGGGGTAGGGAGAGCAGGAGATTCACTAAGAAGAAATCGGATCTGGACACAAAGCAGTGGAGGGCGACTTAGCTTTGCCCTCTCACTTGTCCTGGACATGGCTGAGCTCAGCTCTTTGCATGCTGGAAAAGGTAAAGCAATACTCACTGGGGCAAAGACAAAACCAGGCCGAGGGGCCAGAGGTGACTTCTCCTTTCCCTGAAATCAAAGAAAATAACAAAATTAAGTTGGGCTTGCAGGGTCTATTCTCATAAGTCAATCTCTGCACTCAGTTGAGGACTCCTTTAACATCCGATTTTGGTAGTTACTATGTTCTTTGAGTTAAGCTGGCTACTTCTCTAATTCTCCAAACAAAGAACTTTCTCTTTGCAGCAGGAGGAAGGCAGGAACTTGGCATATAGAGTGGTTCTCTCCTTGTCAGCAGCCTCCACTTTCAAAAAAATCCCATTTCAGGACTATTAAATTCATGATTTTACACTGGCTCTTACAGCCCTAGAGATAAGGTTGTTGGCTCAGCCATGTCCTAGGTAGGGGTTAGCAAACTTTTTTAAAGGCTCAGAGAGTAGCCAAAATGTGTTTGTGTCCCAACTATTCATCTCTGCCATTTGTAGTGTGAAAGCAGCCATACACAATAGACACTCAAATAAGCCTGGCTCATACAAATCCTGTCAGGCAGGATTTGATCCATAGGCCCTACTTTGCCAGCCACCACAGTAAGGTACCAGCTGAGAGGTTTGCAACACAGAAGCAAGACACGGAATCCAGGTGATTAAAAAGGAGGGAGGTTTTAATCTGCACTCCCGGGTGAAGCTCGCTGTACCAGGGTGGGCCAGGGAAGTTGGCGCCAAAAAGTGGCATAGGTACTTCTTTTATACAGCTGGTGAGGGGAGGGTGGAGGGCATGAGAGATGTGGAATTCCTGCCTTGGGCCAGGGGTCTAGGAAAGCCCTAGGAAGGCCCCAGCTAGCCTGTATCTTTGTCACCATCAACCTTGCAGATGCTTGCATAGGCTCTGGGCTTCCCCCCTGCCTAGAGCTAACAACCACTCTACAGCATAATGACTTTACATGCCTACTTGCCTGGCCAAGAGTCACTTACCTTTTGTTTGACAGTCTTTTCCATTTTTAAGGGAGTACTGGTAATTGGTGACAGATGGGTAGGGTTGGGAAAGAGAAGGAGAAAGAACCTCACCTTAAGGACCAGGTCCCTGGCTTCCATGAGAAGGCAGTGTCCAGCTTTTGTTCCATTCTCCACCAATATCTGTTCACAATGGGGAAAATGAGCAGAAGCCCTGAATTATATGAGAACATATGAAGAGAACCAAATAAAATTTTGCCACCCCAAAGCTACTGAAACAGGAACTTTTAGGGGTGAAAAATACAGGTTTAGGGAATTTTAGAAATTAAGAGGACCATGAAAGAAGCACAGGTCTGCAGAGCAGCAGAAGGTATATTTCTATAAAACAGGTAAACTAAAAAGCTGCAACAAGTATATATCCATAGAATGAGGGAGCTAGAAACAACAAAAGATCTATATTTACAAAATAAAGAAAACCCTTCATCCAGAAGAAGAAACCCCAAAGGGAATAGGAAAACAATAAGGAAAGAGGGGAGGAAAATACTCACATGTCTCATGTGAGATTTGACCTTTGAGTTCAGAAGTTACTATAGTTACTATAGTCTTTGGGAATGGTGACCAATCAGAGGGGGTATCAAGGCACAAAGCTCTGCAGCCTTTATAAGCCATGGAAAGGGAACCTTTGGGGGACCCTTTCCTCTCCCCTCATGGGAATCTGTACTTGCTGTTTACAAGTTTTCATCTTTGCTATACCACCTCTGTCTGTGGATTCATTCTTTGACTCAGATGGACAAAGAATCCTGGGCATCCTACCCAGTCTAAAAATTCTGCTTCACTACCTTTTGGAAATACTGATTTTAAGCTGTTTTTGTTTTATTTTGTTTTAAACAAAAGACTCAGAAAGAACCTTTGATCCTCCCATATTTCCTCCCTAAGAGATTTAGATGCAAAGGGCTACTTCAGGAAGGGAATCCTAGGCTATGTCTTAGTCTAATTTGAATTAAGTATGGTGGGTGAGCAGGTTCAGGTAGGGGCCTGTTAGCTAGATACCTGTGCCCCATTGTTTCTGAGTGGTCTAGCAATAATTTGCCTGCCATGTGTGTTCTACTCTTCCTCAACTTCCTGTAAAGAATTGTCCATTCTCACTTCTAAAATCTAAAATCCATTTCCCCCAGTTTTCTTCTTTATCCAAAATGCCATATGTATTTTCAATGTTGCTTCACTGCCTTTGGAATTTTTATGCCTATGTGAATTCCTCATGTACTTGATTCCCCCCCCCCCCCGTTAACCTAACTGTTAATTTGATTTAGTAGCCCAGCTAGAAGACCTTAGAAGGTGGGAGCAAAAGTATTATTATTATTTTATTTAGCTCCCACACATAAATGTCGGTA